ATTTAATTTAATATTAACACCGGAATGTTAGTCTGCCTTTTTCCCCAATTAACTTATATTTACTTAAACACCAAGTAGGAAAACATGGCGGGAAAGTTTGACTCGAAACTCAAGAGTAGGAAGGCCTCGCAGAATTGAAAGGCCTAATGTTGTTCAGATGGTTTTTTGTTTCCCTTGAATGTGAATAATAATGTGAATAATGCGAATCCTTCAATGAAAGTTTTATTAAGGTTTCTTGGATGTAGTCATTTTATTTTAAAATCACTTGACTTGAAAACATATATTTAATGTCCTTGCCGTACCAGTTCAATTCGGCCCTAGAGGGGTTTCCTTTACCAATCATCATAAAGTTAAGTCCGTGTTTCCTACAATAGTAGCACTTCGGCTAAAATCCTTGTTCATTGTTTGTGCGAATCTTCATATTGTAGGTGTTCATTATAGGATGATAACAATAGTATTTTTTTATGTCTGTTTCTTCTACTTGGTGGCGATCTATTACTTTCCTATGTTTCCATGGTTAACAAATCGGTTCTTTCAATGATTGCTCAAGAATTACAGTAACCTGTCAATTAATTTTTCTTATTTTGTAAAATATATCAAATTGACCAGGCTTTCTCGGTTGTTTACATTGTAATATGTACGAATGTAAATTAAAATAGTACATACGAGCTGTTGGCCCGTCCAACGTACGGTAATCGAGTAGTCCATTAAAACAAAACTGTATATAGTGTGTCTTCTAATTCAAGCATAGTTTAAGCAGTTCAAAATTTATTGTAAAGAAAAATCTGCTAAGATGAATTAAAACATGAAATCATTGTTATTTTCCCAACCTTTCCTCTATAAGTCGAGTAGTAAAATAACTTTCATAAGCTTTTTGAAGATTCGTGAACTTCGATTCGTATACAGCAATGGTTATAGAATCTTACTTATGTCCTATAATCAATGACAAAATCACAGAGTAAATAAACTAACCTCATAGTTCTATAGAATATTTTTTTAATTCGACCAGCTGTTAGTTATAACAAATTATATTGTACTAAAACAAACTATGGTGTCACAGAAACTATAGAACATCTTTTGCTTGAATGCCCACATTATGATTACGCAAGAGCACAATGTTTCAGGAGAATCAAAAAATTTCCAAATGACAATACATTTGAAAAAGTGAGGAAAATATTGGCAAGTGAAGATGTACAACTATACAAAGAAATAAATACCTTTCTGAAGGTTGTAAAAAGAAGAATATGAATACAATAAAGGCTCATTTCACACAATCAGTTAACATTTACACAACACTCTCCTTTGGCCTAAGGTTCTTCTATCCGAGGTCCCCCCTCCTTTTCGGGATAGGTAAAGGCCTGATGGACCCCTGGCCGAGAAGATATCTCACCCTTGACCTTAGATCCTGTCATTTCCTAATCATTAGATGCATCCCTCTTTAAAACAAATGTGAACAAATAACTAACAAAAAACAAAATAGAAACAGAAACTATCACATAAATGTAAACTGTGTAACTAACATAACATAACCTTTGTTACAGAAAGTGTCAAATGCCCAAAGACAACCACAGAAGAATTCAGTGAGTAATAGTCAGCATCAGAAATCTAATAGGCTACGTGGAGTAATTATCCAAGCCTCAAGCCTTAATAGCCCAGGCAAATTAGACATATGCTCCCCAAAAAATCGTCTAAAGCTGGAAAGTGTTTTAATACCTTTTGGGGGTCCCAAATAAGACTCCTGTGAGTTTGCGACGGATTCTGACGTCTGCTTAAGTTTTGGGAGTCGAAAAACTATGAAAATTTTGCACTTTTTTCAGTTTTTCGCTTATAACTCCTAAATAACGAATCCTAAGGAAAATGTTGTTCAAAGGTGTCTTTTAGTGCATTAAATTCCGCGTCGATTGATGTTAAATACGTCAAAGTCGGTTGAGCCGTTTAGCCGCTGTAGCTTTTCAAAGTTGGGATATTTTCATCAACATGGCCAAAAGGTTGATTATTTGACCAGTTTTCGGCTTAAAACTCCTAAACGACGCATGCTATACAAAAATGCGCCTGTAGTTAGTTTGGAAAACACAACATTTTGCGTAGAATTATGATTATGAATGACTAGATAATGGTTTATTTCATGGTCATCATCCAGAGGTTTATCCAAGAATGTGTGAGGGAAGGGTAGCAAGACCCCTTATGCAATTTTAAATCTAATATTGTTGAGGGGGTTACAAAAATTCTAGGATTCGTCCTAAGCTCCCATTTATACGATCCCATCTCTGGACACTCCGGAATGATGTTAAGAGATTCTAATATATAATAAGATATTACAACGAGAAAGATTTTATTAAATATAGCAAAAATGTTACTTTTTAGCTTAATAAACGAAAGATGATAATGGGACGGATGTACATAGTTTTACTATGTATTTAGCCTATTAAAAAAACTATTGGGATTTTTCGTAGATTTTACCATATTACTTTTTTACTTCTCATCATTGGAATCTTAAGAATAAGGATTCATTCTTTGCTCTTATTGGTCTTGCCACAAATGGCGACATTCGGTACCATATTTTTCGTCAGATATCGAACTGAGATAATCGTGCCCCTTGCAAGTCTTTCAGACAGTAGTGCATTATATCCCTGCATTTCATATGGAGCGAGAAAATGTAAACCTTATTAATATGTACACGATGGTCGAGATAGGTGGACGGAGTTGAGGAGTTCTTGTCGAACCGGTGGATTAGCCGTAGTGATGGGAGTTAACCCATTGACGTTAATTTTCCATACCTATCTCTCTGAACTAAGTACAATTTTAAATGAGCTCTAAAGGATTGGTGGATGAGCAGCCCCTTTTGTTAGAATCAATGTCAAAATTAGTTGAAAGTGTCCTCTAGAAGAGTCCAACCCTCACTTGATTTGGATATTTTCTGCTCCCAACCATGTATAGGGCCAACCTGCTTCTGCAACTTCGCCAAGCGTTGTAACCCGGCAGAACACAGTGAGATCCACATTGATTGGAGTAAACAGCATGAGTAGTTTTAGGCTACATGAATAGTTAGATTTTCGACTCTTCTACATCACGCTTTCTTCATCAAACTGCGCTAGTGGGTACGGACCTACAGTATTTTTAATCCAAAGTATGATTCAAATTGAGGCTTGGATTTAATGTGTAATATCACGTGTTGACTGAGGGGACAGATTCTTCTTTAACCTTTGCTGTTGCCTCACAGCTCGCGATTAATGTCACCACTTCCTTTTATTCTGCACAGTTTATGGTCATTATAGGCTTGCCTATTTACGATTTTCTTGCAAGCTGTACCTTTCTATTATGCTTTATACATATCTCGCGTTGATGCTATCATATGGGATAACTGCTGAGCTGATTGACATGATCGAACTATTTTCAGTAAATGGGTCGTGACACTGGAACCATTTGATGAATTTATTTTTGATCCCACCGTATCCGTGGAGTTTATATTGTCAACTTGCTGATAATATGTTGAAGAGGTGATCCCACAATATACCTTAACTTGATGGGCAGCATTCACTGCGATAGGCCTGCCAGCGAACCATCGGGCTAGGTCCACATCATTGATTCCCCTATCTTGGAAAAAGCTCTCCACAGTTAAGATGTTGCTCTCATGAGCACTTACTTGTTCATAGGCCATGCTGCAGGATCCATGACGTCACACTAGTGGATAGATTCACTGCCATATCCCCTATGTTTTTGGTAATTAGGCTGGTTGTTTGCCAGATTTCAATGGTAAGATTTTAAACTTGACAAGCATCTGATCTAGTGTTAACAATCAATAGCGGTTAAATGGTGAAGCCGATCTTAATGAAATGGAAACATTCTACGTAGACGTTTATGCTCTTCAAACTAACTACAGGAACATTTTTTCTATAGCATGCATTAGAAGATGTAAGCCAAAAACGGAAATATGAATACAGGGATATATCGTATATAATGGGTGGTTAGGATGAATCCTAGAATTTTCGGAATCTCAGACAACAATATTAGACTTAAAATTACATAGGGGAGTCTTACTCTCATCACACCTTATTAGATAAACCTCTAGATGACCAGCATGGAATAAACCTTAATCTAATAATTCATAATCCATTTAAGAACAGGATCTATGTTGTTACCAATTTTATTAAAATTTCCCAACTTTAACTTTAATACTTTTTTTCAATGAAATAGTGTCCATACAAAGTAGGTAACAATCAATTGCCGTTATTGATTAATAAAAAAAACATTCTACGCAGAATTTTGTGTTTTCCAAACTAACTACAGGCGCATTTTTGTATAGCATGCGTCGTTTAGGAGTTTTAAGCCGAAAACTGGTCAAATAATCAACCTTTTGGCCATGTTGATGAAAATATCCCAACTTTGAAAAGCTACAGCGGCTAAACGGCTCAACCGACTTTGACGTATTTAACATCAATCGACGCGGAATTTAATGCACTAAAAGACACCTTTGAACAACATTTTCCTTAGGATTCGTTATTTAGGAGTTATAAGCAAAAAACTGAAAAAAGTGCAAAATTTTCATAGTTTTTCGACTCCCAAAACTTAAGCAGACGTCAGAATCCGTCGCAAACTCTCAGGAGTCTTATTTGGGACCCCCAAAAGGTATTAAAACACTTTCCAGCTTTAGACGATTTTTTGGGGAGCACACCCTATTTTTGATCTAATTTGCCTGGACTATAAGGGCTTAGAAAAAAAACTAACTAAATATTTTAAAGACTGCTAAAAAAAAATAGAACAATCTCTCATCCTCTTACCGAATAAATGAACGTATCAATGATTATAGCATTACACATACTATGAATACGTCAACCCTACGCCACACGCTCTTTCCAATGAGACGTCAATGGATAAAATCGGTAAAGAAATGGCGGAGGAGTTCAACCGACAAACTTCGTGTTCGCGTATTAATTAATTAGGCCCTACTCAATTACTGACCAAGAGTCTGAAGTAGTTGGTTTTTCAATGATTGTAAAATGAAGGCCACCCCTCCCCACTGCTGAGGCAGGGTCCCATATCCAGATTGCACAGAAGACTCCAGCCAAGCACACTGACAGCAAGTTCCACTCTATTGAGTGACAGAAGAACAAACTAAAGGTGAGTCACAACTAGAAATATTGCAGGAAGTTAGTACCTATTTTGATTAGACATCAACATATGCATTTTGAAACAAAATTTGAAATATGACATTTTCAATGGAAAAAGTTTAAAATTATTAAGCTTTATTTAAAGATGAGGTTTGTGTCTGGAACACAATAACTCCGGTATTTTAGGTCTGATTATAATATTTTGCTTAATCGTGTAGGGCTGGATACATTTAAATCTTGAAGGAGCAGGATTGGGTCTAGGTAACAAATTGAGTTATAGGGTTTTAACATCTTTTTTTCTTTTATTAATGCAACATTTTTACTAAAACCATCGTGTGTAGAGCTTAAAAAAACTTTTTTGAAGTGTTGTAAGTTTAAAGGTTTGCAGAGATACTAAAAAAACGGTGCATTTAAAATTCCCCATGTTATTGTTATAAGGTATAAATAAACTGTTGTAGTTTGCTTGCTTTATGAATAGATTTTGAAAAAATTGGCTAATTTATTTTTTCATTCTCTTTAGCAGCAAACCTAGGTTCCGGTTCTCATAAACCAATGTGTGTTATTTAAAAAAATCTGTTTCAAGTTTATGAAATATTTTTAGACCAATGAAAATTTGTTTAGTTTGAGACGGTTTTCTACAGGGAGGGGTGGGAGTATTTATTAATTCTGATAGAAAATGTTCCCAAATAATCTCACTCATCATTACCAAAAATTAACTCAAACAAAGAATTAAAAGCTTTGTAAGAATGATTTAATTAGTAATTTTCTCTTTGATGTATATGCAAAAACCATAATTTCATGTGAATGTTAAAGTTGAAGTAAGTTTTAGGCATTTTTCATCAAGAACTGGTAATATTGGGTTCAAATTAAAAAAAAAAAATTCACCAATATTTTTGAATTTGTTTTTCATAACGCCTTTCGACAGCTATGCTGGCATCATAAGACACATCACAAAAAAAGAATGTTTAAAAAAAAGAAGGCCTCATTAATTTAATTTAAAGCTCCCTTGTAGGCTTAATTTGTTATCTATAAAAAGTTGTTTGGAAAAGGTCGTTTTTTTTCAAACTGACACCGATAAGTTTACATTAATAGTTGTTTACAAATAAAACAATTAATGGGAAATAACTTTGATTTCCGATAACTTTTTACGAGAAAATCCAAAACCAAAAGATCAATAACCTCGGTACTTGATTAATGCATTTAATTGGTCGGATGTACTATGGTTCTTAACTACTGTAAACGTTGGCTTTTGGTACAAGTTCTTTTCCTTAGAACCGTTGGTAGCTGTAAGAATCATTTCTAGCTGTGTGCCCGTTCTACGCACGGGGATCTTAAAATAGTCAGTTGAACCCTTCTTATATTAAGAATAGCAGTTGGTTTATTTTCAGATATGATGGCAAAACTATTATATAAAAACCTTCGCAAATACAGTAACTGACAGTTTCAAGCCAAAACAAATGCTTCGCAATTAAATGTCACCCGGATCGTGTTGTTCCATATGTTAAATCCAATGATCTATCTATAATATTAAAACGAAACAGTGTATTTTTATTTCACGATTCTGAATCAACCACTCGACGGATTTACATGATTTTTGTGTTGAAAGAAAGATAATTTTGAGAACTAGGGAATGTCGAAGCCATAATTTTAGTTTTGGGTCCCAGTTTTTTAGAAATTAAGTTTTAATTTTTAAAAAGTCTAGCAGCCGACGCTAAGATTCTAAACTAGCTTTCGGCATAAAATAATTTGCTTAACACAACAGCTGTAAACATTCAGCTTTTGTGTCACAAATTCAGCATTTGGATAAAAATGTAAAGACGTACTTAGCGTTGACTTATTTATACTATGTGTAATGCTATAGTTCGGCCGCTTAGAAAACGACCTGCGCGCTAATGCTAAACCAATGCTGGAGGAGGTCGCTTTCTAAGCGGCCGAACTATAATCATTGATACGATCAATTCTTCTGTAAGAGGATGACAGATTAATTAAATATACATAGTAAAATACTAGGATGTTCAAAATATTTTTTTAAAACAATCTTTGTAATCTTCGATTTGTTTTAGAGCAATATAATTTGTTTTAACTAACAGCTGGTTAAATATAAACTATGGAACTATGAGGTTATTTTACTTACTCTTATTTTGTCATTGATTATAGGAAATAAGTCAGATTAGTAGAGATAATTAGACCACAGTTTAAAATAGTTTGGACCAAAATTAATTAAACCACAGTACAAATCGAGGCTATGTACACGAGTCTTAATAAAAAAGGATAAATGCAAATGATTTTACTGCTCCACTTTTCAAGGAAAGAATAGAAAAATAACAGTGTTTACATGTTTTATGAAATCGTATTCAGTTGTGGTTACGTTTGGGGGTGCCTATATCAGCGCCCCCAAACGTGAAAATATCACTTTTATTTAAACTATGAATATATTGTAGTTTAAATTAACTAATATGGGAAATTACGATGTACATTTATTTAATGAGGGTGGGTAATTATCAAGGATATTATGCCAGTTTGTTTGTTTTGATTTGACACGTATGAACACATGATCGTATTAAAAAGGTCCATCTTCAAAGATATTCCACCACAGCTTAACCACTTCTAGCTAAAGAAATCCAATTGCACTTTACAAACTTCTCTATTTTTCACCCCACTCTGTAAATAAAACATGTGATTGGAATTTGTTTTGATTTTCTGTTTATATTTCGTTGTTATTTCGTCACCATCATGGCAACCCATAAAGCCCATGTTAATTTTTTGTTAATTTCAAATTCATTGTTTGTGCTTATCTTTGAGCCTATTTTAATTTATAATGGGCTTCTGCACACCTACAGGAAAATATCTTTCTAACAGTATGTATAGATTTTCCCTACGGCGCACACGAGCTGAGAAAAAAGGTTTTAAAGAAACATGCTTGCCTATTAATATATAGATAGATAGAACTGATAACGGTATGGATAATAAACATTGACATTAGCTTTACTAGCGTGTTTACTTTTTATATTCCTGCTACATGTGACCAGTTCTTTTTTTCAAATGAATGTTATTTGAACCAAACAGCTGTTTCAAAACAAATTGTTATTGTTTTTACTTTTCTTTGTTTAATCATAGATAAAACATACTCCCTTAGTTGATTAGTCTATGGTTTAATGCAGTGAAATTGATATAAAGGATAGGTGTGAAGATTAGTTTTGATGTTAGGACAACAAAGTTAAATTATGTGTACTGTGAATTTTATTGGATATTATCGTTTTATTTTAGGTCGTTTCTATTCAGACCTACTGGAAATTGTGTATAGTAAGTTAGTTGTATTGTGGTGATAATTAATTATGGAAGAGGCAGGTATGCTATGGAAGGTAGTATCGTTGACTAGGTCTATACACTTCTCAATTGACTATTACCTTTGACTATTGGATACAGAAGTTGTATAAGATAAAGAAGTGTTGTATTAATAGTCAAAGCTATTACTATCTCTACTGTATGCTACTTATAATCAGTGTGCGTCTGTGCGAATCGGCTGCAAATCTCACTTCAACGCTTTTCACATCGTAAAAAATGCAGAATTGCTGTTTTATTGTAAAATTATCGGATTTTAAATGCATAAAAACATATTTGGTCACACAACATTTGTTTTAAGATGATTTTTCACATTAAAACTGAAAGAAACATTGTCTTTTTTAAACTAGCTTATCTGAATTGTACACGGTTTTAACTGACTACTGAATTCCCGTACGTAGGACGGGCTAACACCTCGTTAAAATAAAAAATAATTTATAGATCTATGAGGCATAGCCCTAAGTTAGGCCTATAATTGGAAGTTACTTTCCACAATGGTTAAAAGTATACCTTAAACTCACCATTTAACACTTTATTCCGGTTGACATTTTCATTATCAAAGGTGCTCTTGATGTCCTTTCCGTGAAACACTGAGAAATAAGGACATTAATGCGTTACCAACAGACATACACACAAAAATACACAATTTAATTAGGGAATTTGCTACGCTTTAAGCATAACAAGTACATATAAAATTAGTATTTGAAATTAATGTCATCAAATTTTATCATAACAACTAGCTGTTTGCCCGTTCTACGTACGGGAACCTTGTAGTAAGTTGAAACCTTATGTTCAGAACAGGAGTTGGTTTGCATATTTAGTGTGCATTTTTCCAGATATGGTGGCAAAACTATTACTGTATAGGAATACATATAAACCTTCTCAAATACAATATCTGACAGTTTCAAAGCCAAAACGAATGCTTCGCAATTAAATGTCACCCGATCGTGTTAATCCATATTTTATATCTAGGCTAATGATAATAGAAATTGCTTTATAGATCTATTAGGCATAGCCCTAAGGTAGGCCTGCAATTGAAAGTTACTTTTGACACTGGTTAAAAGTAGTTAAAATACTACCTCAACCTCACTACTGCACACTTTACTTTACTACTTTACTTTTAAAAAAGAGGTTGGCGGCCTCTTTTAAACTTGCATTTGCCCGTCCACATAGACTAACCGCCTGTACGTGGAACGTTTACAGCAAAGCAAGGCGGTACAGTACAAAGGTGAACTGTACTGATAAATTTTAGTGGCAGTGACCAGGATCCAAACCCACGACATCGCTGCCTTCGGCCCGAAGTTCGCGACGCTACCGAATGAGCCACCGACTCACTAATTCACTTTATTCGAGTTGAAATTTTCATTAACAAAGGCGCTCTTGTCTTTTCCACGAAACACTGAGAAATAAGGACATTAATGCGTTACCAATAGACATACACACACAAATACAAAATTGAATTAGGGGGTTTGCTACGCTTTAACCAAAGCAAATTACAAACAAAATAATTATTTGAAAGTTTTGATAGTGTCATCAAGTGTTATGATAATCGTCTTTAGGCCTAATCAAAACTGTAAAATTGGTGTGTAAATCCGTTGGCAAATATATAAATAAGTAAATTAATACACAGTCCACAAAACATTGATACGTTATCAACGCCAAGCTTTAAAAATTCATGATGGTTTGATAAAAAAAATCTTATATTATTCAGTAAGACATCAATTAAATTTAATAAGAAGAAGAATTTAATAACGATAACTATAGTTGTAAATAGTGATGTGTTTGTACGTAAAAATGATTCTTACTGCTACCACCGGTTCTAAGGAAAAGTATCAGTGCCAAAAACCAACGTTTACATTTAAGAAAAGAACTATATTACTTACGACCTATTTGAACTGTCCTTCTAATCAAACTGTATTATAGCTGTTAATCCGTTGGCCAATACATAAATAAATAAATACACAGGCCACAAAACATGTAACATGTAACGTTAACAATGTAAAGCTTAAACACTCACTATGGTTTGCTCAAAAAAACTTTCACTAAATGTGGTGCAGTACCAAAGTGATTAATATCCCTTGGTTTTTTTTCAGTTTTCGAAAATCAAAGTTATTTCCCATTGATAGCATTATTTGTAAGCAAAATTTAATGTTAATATATTAATGACAGTTTGAAGAAACCACATTTATCCTAACAAAGGTTTCTTATTTAAAAGATTACGTAATCTCTAAACGATAATCGGTACATATATCTAGCAAATATTCGGAGGAATACTTCTTAAGTAGGAAAAGTACCGATATCGTTAACGAAATGTAAGTACTGTAAGAAATCAGAAAGATTTACCATGATCGCAGCAACATCCACGATCACCCACCACAGTTGTGATTTTTTACTTTGAACTTAACACAACTGTCCTTGAAGCGCCGTCAATGAGTGGAAACCTTTTTTGTAAGCTATTGGTGACTATGATTAAAAAAATGTAAGTTTCCCAGCACTAATACAACACTGATTCGCAGTATTTTCCCCGGTTATCAAAACTCAAGAACAATCGTCGCACTTGCGATTAATTAAACCGGTTAAGTAAGGCACAACGTTTTTAATCTCACTTGGTTTGGATATGCTAACAAAGCTTGATCGGAAATGGTTGCGGTATTTGTAAACAACTTTTAATGTAAACATATCAGTGACAGCTAGAAGTGAGAACTAATCCAAACAGCTGATCGTTATTTTATAAAAGTAATAGTAAACATTGTGATAAAATTTGACAAAAATCGAACAAAATTGGGTTTTTGATGGTTTGTTATTTTGTTTTCAAAGAAGCGAGGCCATGTTTTTATAGCCAAAGACACTCTCGCCAATCCAGTGAATACAGAAAAATAATTGGAATCTTGATCTGTACTCTAGTTTTCAAGGAGTAGGCCGCGTAAAATGACACTTTGGCGTTACAGACGCAACCACAGAATGGACAAACAGACAAACAAACATACATACAGACAGAAATTGAGATAAGACTCGTTTCGGCTTTCTTAGGCTATGAAACGAAAAAATAACCAAAAACTGCATGATTCTAAGCAATGTACAGACAAAACTGTAATTTTATTTATATAGATTTATATTTCCTTAGACCGAAGATGACCCGAAATGCTGTCGAAATGACGGCTTACTACAGAAACAGCACCACACACCACAGCTGTTTGGGGTTGTGCGTGGTTTATAGAGGTGGTTTGATTATGTGTTTCCTTTATCACATAATCATCTATGAAATAACCAACAGCTGTTCGGATCAAGATTATTTTTTCTAGCTGTCACTGATATGTTTAAATTGAATGTGGTTTACAAATACCGCAATCATTTCCGATCACGTTTTGAAAGCAAATCCCAACCAAGTGAGATTATAAACGTTTTTCTTACATAACGGATTTAATTAATCGCAAGTGCAATAATATAGTGTAACCGTAAATGAAATTAAATAACTAGGCATCATCCATGTCAGGAACCAGAGATTCTTTGTGTATAAAATTGTTCTTGAGTTTTGATAACCAGAAAGAAGACCAGTGTTTTATACGGCTGGGAAACTTAAATTTATTAATGATCGTCAACAATAGCTTAGAAACAAGGTTTCCACTCATTGACGGCGCTTCAATGGCGGTTGTGTAAGGTGTAAAGTAAAAAATCACAACTGCAGTGGGTGATCGTAACAGAGGTTTACGGATGAACTCGCTTTTCCAATGTGTCACTTTCTGTTTCTCCTCACCGTGTGATGCAATCGCATTTTACATGTATATCGTATATTTAGCTTCTATATACTAAGTCTGTTAGCTAAATATCAAACCTAAATAATATTTTTATTGCTAAACAAATGATTTTAGAATGTTGACTTTAACATCCCTCCTCACGATGTGTATGGTGGGACTGTTGGTGACGTGGGGTTGGCTGCACTGGAAATATCACAAGCTTATCAGGGCTGTCAGCAAACTGGAAGTACCTTTTTTCAGTTTCCCATTTCTGGGACACAGTCCCTACACTCTACTAGGACATGAAGGTAAATATTGATGTTCAATATGGTGTTTGTACAGATAATTTTAATTTTCCATGTCATGACGTAACTTATGTTTACTCATGCTAGGCGTATGCTACATATTAAAGAAAATAATATTACAAGACATTTTAAAAGAATGGAGTTTATGTTTTCTGCAAGCTAGGAGTGTGGCCAGGCACTTCGCGCGAAGATAAGCCGCGCGGCTTAAATTCGCCTCGTGTGGCCGGGGCCTTACTTCTCTGTGTTGTAGCTGAAATTTAATCGGTGGAATAATATCTTGTTTAGGCTGTTAGATTTAGAATTGCATTTACCATCTCAAAGTCAATTATATAATATAAAGGTTGGAAATCTTTAATTTTCAGGAATAACAGGACGGATTTTAAAAGGGGGAGTGGAAATGCTGGAACGTGGAGGACCACTATTGACATGTTTATGGATTGGTCCTATTCCACTTCCAATAATTGGTGGGGTAAAAAACATACAGGTAAATAATAACAATGAATAGAAACCTTGTAATGTAATAAGCTAAATGGTTATGGTGTATAGTCAGACTGGATTTTGCCGCCGAAATGATCATTTTGGGCCCTAGCATTGACTATTACTGAAGTTATATTAATAGTCAAAGGCCCTAGCCTCTTCCTCTCTCCCTTCTCTTGTCTCACTTACACTGCTGTGGGGTCCCATTGGCACCACCGCGCACCAGTAATATTAGCGCCTTTCCTATTTAACAGCCGTCGCAGAAACTTGCAAAATTCAAAAATCCCAGGATGAATTTTTAACATGGGCATTTTGCTTCTTATAAGGTTTTTATTAATTGATAATAATCTGGTTAATATTACCACACATAGGTTAATTGGTAAGTCATCCCACCCGTTGTGTTGGTTATTCAAAACATAAATCTTAATAAACGATCAGCAATCTATCTGACACGACACATTAGTTTCCTATTATCTTGCCAACAACCTTCATCATAGGTAAGCGGTGGAAGTATTAAAATAATTTTTAATAAGTTTTATAAGACATAAGTTTTCTCATCCTACACTCATCTCCATTCATACTTAGCTTAAAATACCTACTTTGTATGGTCGCCATTTCAATAAAACGTATATTTAAAAAGTAGCTTTGATTTTTAAGAGGAAAATCAGAAAAGTCACAATACCGGATTTTAACTGTTATTTTTACAGCAATGGTGGTTTTACCAACTTGTTTAGAATATAACATACTATATTTTAATTTAAACTGTTTAGGCAGTTTTCTTTAGAAAAAAAAAACTTTATAAATAATAATATATTTCATCACTAGGGTGTTCAGTGACTATTTTCAACCCGAGCTCAAGTTTTACTATCGAGGCGAAGCCGAGGTTGGAAAATGAGCGAGAGTTGAACAGACTAATATAGAAAACGAGAATGGTTGTTGTCAAGATAACCTCTCCAAACGACTTTCAACTTATTTGTTTAATTTGTTTAATGCATACAAGCAGCTGTTTAGTAAGTGATTCAATCATTTAATCATTTTGTTTATTACAAGCTGCTATACCCGTGCTTTGCAACGGGAAGAAAATGTGACCTAGAGAGCTATTAAAGTGGTGCTGATGTGTGTTTTAAAATACAGTAACTCTATGATTTAGTTTGAAAATGTTTTGATTTAAAAGCGTAAACCTACTTGCTTTCAAACCCCTACTTTTGATGTTAATAGATCCCTAAGAATATGACAACATACCTTAGTGTAGCAATAGCATCAATTGCTTCATATTGATGCTTCATGAATGACATTTTTAACCATAGTTCTTCAATTTCAGTCAAGCCTCTTGGCATGTATCTTACTCTAAAATTAAAACATGAAAATTTGAGCAATACTTTACAAAACGTATACAACCTCACTTTAAAACCAAACATAACCCTCCTCGATCTACATATACACAAACATATTTTTCGAGTAAATAAACAAACACCAGTTCATTGTACTGACCAGCTGTTTCTTTAACTAAATTAAATTAAATCATTTAAACATTGAAAGCATGCCAGGCGTAGCCCTTTGGAAATCAGCCTGTGGGGCAGAGCCCTTAGGAAATTCGTCCATATTAATACTTTTCGGCAAATCTACACACTTTAAACTTCATTTTGATGTGCCATTTGCCTATATTTTTATTTGGTAAATTACCCCGTTTACATAAAATTTGATTGTATCACTTTAATAATATAATAGATGATTGTCTTATATAGTACTAGCTGAGTACCCGTCCTTCGTACGGGGTTGGTATACAATACTTATTGTAGTTAAATAGTAAATCGTGCTTTGCATTTGCAATGAGAGAGGACACGTTTTGAGAAAATTTGGTTTACTATAATCTACGGTATACTATAGTATATAGAACATCTACCATAGCCATAATGTTCTACCACTTCACCTAAACAAATTGTTTAAAACAATAGAAAGAAGTAAAGTTCTCACACTCAGGTTTTTGTTGCTGCTTGGTTCAAATTAGCTGTTGTCATAAAATGTATAAAGAACTAATGGTGCTGCACCCTGTTGGTAAACCGTATAACATTTTAATGCTATTGAATATCATAAAAAAAAAATTGTCTAGTTGAAACAGCTGGCAAAACTATTCGATTCCTTTTAAATATGAATACTCATAAGGTTAACATGGGAAACTCTAGAGCCGCTGGGGCAGAGCCCGAAAGGATTTTTGAGGTAAGAATATGTCTATATGTTAATCGGGAATGTGAGCTATCATCATACCAAATTTCAACACAATCCGACCAGTAGTTAATGCGTGATTGAACTTCAAACAAACAAACAAACAAACAAACAAACAAATAAACAAACAAACACACAAACTTTCACATTTATAATATTAGTATGATATATTATTGAGCGGAGCGAGCGAAGCTCTTATACATCGACTCTTATGCATTTCGTAATACGCAAACTCCTCCTAGACGGCTGAATCAATCGTTTTTAAATTTTGTATGGTGATAAAGACCAGGTGCCAACATCTATATGGCGTTAAAAAAGTCTCTCAGGAATCCGCCCCACTGGGTCAAAGTTTCGATGTAATCCTTATGGAAGCAGTATTTGATTCATAAACAAAGACATATGATCAGCTGTTGACTTTTGAATGCAAAAGCTTTTGAATGCTGTTTGCTTTTGATAAATAAATAGCTGATAGCAATATTCCACAGATATTAGAACAGAAACGGTATGGATCATAAATATAATCAAACTAGCTGTTTTCCCGTTCTACGTACGGGAATCTTGTAGTAAGTTAAAACCTTATAGTCAGAACAGGAGTTGGTTTGCATATTTAAAGTGCATTTTTCCAGATATGATGGCAAAACTATAACTGTTTAGGAATACATATAAACCTTCTCAAATACAATATCTGATAGTTTCAAAGCCAAAACGAATGCTTCGCAATTAAATGTAACCCGATCGTGTTAGTCCATATTTTATATCTAACGATGAAAGGACAGATATATGAGGCATAGCCCTAAGGTAGGCCTGTAATTGAAAGTTACTTTTCATACTGGTTAAAAGTAGTTAAAACACTACCTCAACCTCACTACTGCACACTTTATTCGGGTTGAAATTTTTATTAACAATGGTGCTCTTGTCTTTTCCACGAAAAATAAGGACCTTAATGCGTTACCAATAGACATACACACACAAATACAGAATTGAGTCCACACAACATTTTGGAGTCCAGACAGAAAACGCTAAAAATTATACAGTAAGACATCAATTAAATTTAATAAGCAATAAGGTGCAGTGTTTATAAATAAATAGTGAAAATAGTGATGTGTTTGTATGTAAAAATGATTCTTACTGCTACCACCGGTTCTAAGGAAAAGTAGTAGTACCAAAAACCAACGTTTACATTTGAGAAAAGAACTGTAGTACACGACTAATTCAAACTGTCCTTCTAATCAAACTGTATTGTAGGTGTTGATCTGTTGGCAAATATATGAATAAATAAATACACAGGCCACAAAACATGTAACATGTAACGTTAACAACGTAAAGCTTTGAAAATTCACTATGGTTTGATAAAAAACAACTTTCACTTGATGTGGTGCAATACCGAAGTTATTAATCTCCTTTGGTTTAAAATTTTTTTAAGTTTTCGAAAATCAAAGTTATTTCCCATTAATATCATTATTTGTAAGCAGCTTTTAATGTTAACATATTAATGACAGTTTGAAGAAACCACCTTTATCCAAACAAAGGTTTCTTATTTAAAAGATTACGTAATCTCTAAACGATAATCGGTACATATATCTAGCAAACATTCGGAGGAAATGTGACAAAAAACGCATAAATCTGGGGTTTTGTATGTTTGTAGTTTTATTTCCTAAGTAGGAAAAGTACCGATATCGTTGTCGAAATGTAAGTAAGTAGAAACCAAAAGTGACACATTGGAAAAGCGAGTTTAGCTACATCTGTTGTTAAACCTCTGCTACGGTACGATCACAGCGAAATCAGAAAGATCTTCCAAGATCGCAGCAACATACACGATCACCCACTGCAGTTGTGATTTTTTACTTTGCACTTTACACAACTGTCCTTGAAGCGCCGTCAATGAGTGGAAACCTTTGTAAGCTATGGCATTGGTGACGATGATTAAAAAAATATAAGTTTCATTGCACTAATACAACACTGATTCACGGTATTTTCCCCAATTATCAAAACTCAAGAACAATCGTTGCACTTGCCAATAATTAAACCGGTTAAGTAAGGCACAACGTTTTTAATCTCACTTGGTTTGGATGTGCTGACAAAACTTGATCGGAAATGGTTGCGGTATTTGTAAACAACTTTTAATGTAAACATATCAGTGACAGCTAGAAGTGAGAACTAATCCAAACAGCTGATCGTTTAGACAAACGTATGGGAGAAAGTATTCATACGTTTGGCAAGTATTCATTTTATAAAATGTAATGTAGTAGTAAACATTGGGAGAAAATTTGACAAAAATCGAACAAAAATGGGTTTTTGGTGGTTCGTTATTTTGTTTTCAAAGAAGCGAGGCCATGTTTTTATAGCCAAAGACACTCTCACCAATCCAGTAAATACAGAAAAATGATTAGAACCATGATCGGTACTCTAGTTTTCTAGGAGTAGGCCGCGTAAAATGACATTTTGGCGTTACAGACGGAATCACAGAATGGACAAACAGACAAACAGACATACAGACATACAGACAGAAATTGAGATAAGACTCGTTTCGGCTTTCTTAGGCTATGAAACGTAAAAATAACCAAAAACTGCATGATTCTAAGCAATGTACAGACAAAACTGTAATTTTATTTATATAGATGACGACACTAGCTTGAGGTCCGTGACGTATGAAGTGGTGAAGGAAGTAGTAAAGGTGAGCAGTCTGGAGCGTGGAAACTGTTTATGACGATTAAATGAAGGTATCTGTAATCCTAAAATGTTATTGGAAGGGAAGGAAACAGGTCCGCGACGTAGAAAGTGGTGAAGGAAGTAGTAAAGGCGAGCTGTTCAGGGTGTGGAATCTGTTTGTGACCATTAGATTAAGGTATTTGCAATCCTATGATGCTATGGGAAGGGGGGGAAACAGGTCCGTGACGTAGGATGTGGTGAAGGAAGTAGTAAAGGCAAGCAGTCCGGACTGTGGAACTGTTTGTGACGATTAGATTAAGGTATATGAAATCCTAAATGCTATGGGAAGAGAGAAAAACAGTTCCCCGACGTAGAAAGTGGTGAAGGAAGTAGTCAAGGCGAGCTGTCCGGAGTGTGGGAACTGTTTAGGGCGAACAGATTTAGGTATCTACAATCTTAAAATGCTATGGGAAGAGAGGGAAACATATCCGCGACGTAGGAAGAGGTGAAAGAAGTAGTAAGGTGAGCAGTGTGGAGTGTGGGAACTGGAAACCGTTTGTAGCAGTTTTAATGTATCTGCAATGCTGAAATGCTATGAGAAGGGATGGGAGCATGCCCACGACATAGGAAACGGTGAAAGAAGTAGTAAAGGCTAGCAGTACGGAGTGTAGGAATGTTTGTGCCAATTAGATTAACGTATCTAAAATACTAAAATGCTATGGAAAGTGATGAATACAGGTCCACGACGTAGGAAGTAGTATGTAATTGTATGAGCATCAGCATAGTGTGAGATCCGTCTGTGGCAGTTAGATTAATGTATCTTCAATACTAAAATGCTATGAGAAGGGAGGGAAACTGGCCCCACGACGTAGGAAGTGGTGAAGGAAGTAGTAAAGATTGCAGTGCAGAGTGGGGGAACCGTTTGGGCAGTTAGATAAATGAATCTGTAATACTTAAATGCTATGAGAAAGGAAGGAAACAGGTCTATGACGTAGTAAATGGTGAAGGAAGTAGTAAGGCTAGCAGTGCAGAGTGTGGGAACTGTCTTTGGCAATTACATTAATGTATCTGCAATCCTAAAATGCTATGGGAAGAGAGGGAAGCAGGTCCACAACGTAGGGTGTGGTGAAGGAAGTAGTAAAGGTGAGCAGTGTTGAGTTTGGGAATGGATTAATGTATCTGCAATGCTAAAATGCTACGGAAAGAGACTGTAGACTGTATGTTAAAATGATTACGAAGCACGAATCAATACATATTTTCGATACATGCAATCGTTTACAATCGAAATTTGCAACTGAGTTGATAACAGCTGATTTTTACTACATCGAGGCTAAAAACGATTTTTACTCCCTAAATATTAAAAATGCTACTTTAGACCCAGACCCGCAACGCATGCATTAAAAATAAATACACCATGGTTTTTACTGCAGTATGACAAAAACAATATAATATGAACCCTTTAGGACTCCGCTCAATTTTGTGGATGCCTCTGCGAACGCCACCTAGTATTCTACATTTCGAACTATTGACTGATGCAACAATAAGCTACTATACTGATTAAATCAATTGAGACATAATTTCAAAACATGCGATTGATGCTTATGTTCAATTATTGAAGTAGCCCTGATGAGTTTACAACAGCTGACTTTTACACCTTATAACACATGCATGAAAAACAGCTGTATTTTCTTCAGTATGACACAATAGTTATTTGTGTAACTAGTGGTGAAAGTGGCACTTTGCTGCACACGAGAGCAATGTTTACGCACGAGCCGCAGGCGAGTGCGGAATGATCTCGAGTGCAGCAAAGGCCTTTTTCACTCGTGTTACACATTATATTTTTCCTACAGTCACTATAAAGCATATAAATAATTAGTCTTTCAAACACTATACATTACGTTTTTAGGTTCAGCTGGCAACACAAATGGTGCCCTAGACAAAGTAGTACCCTACAAAGTAGATCTGTATCACTCCGCTATTTTTCCTCGGCAAGAAATGTGCTCCGCGTTTTGAGAATATAGTTCCGTATGTTTTTGTAATTTGAAGTGGTTTCCACGCCTAAAAAAATGCTTTAAAGGTATTTTATTGTTTATTAAGATCGTAGGAATGTTTTAAAAACGTTCAAAAGTAAAGTCCAGAAAGTTCAGAAATACCGAAACTATAAACACGAAATGACAGGTTAAATCGTAGTTATAATAGTCAATCAGCTGCTCATAGTATTAATATCTTTAAGTGTTGCCAACCTATTTCCAAGCGTACACGGATTACGTGCATTAATAGAACCACGCTGTTTTGTGTTGTTTCGTTGGAATCCTGATGTGCGGCAAAGTATAAACCGTACGACAAAGTATAAACCGTACGGCAAAGTATAAATATGCAGCAATTAGCAGCTTTCTGTACTATAAACAGTACAAGGAAGCCAACTTTGTCGGGTGACTGTAGGAAAATATTATTTTCATCACTCCGTTACGAAAGTAACTATTTTCGATAACATCTGACATCAATGAAAGTAGCCGTTTCCCAAGCTCTAATTTAGGGCGAGGGAAAATCGATCAGCTGATTTTCCCTCGCTCTAAATTTACTTTCCCTCGCTCTCAATTAGTTCTCCATTTATTCACTACGCGCGCTAGTGTTTTGTTACGGTTTAATTTAATGATTTGAAACAGCTGTTTTTATTGTTGCTCAATCTAAATCTACAGAAACAACAGGCATTAGTTTGTTTTGTTGTGTTTTTAACATAATGCATGTTTGGAATTGCTCAAAGTATGTCTAACATTACTGAAGATTTGATGAAAACAGCTTAACTTATTATATTTCACCGTATAAACCACGGGAAGGATAAGAAGAGGAATACAGAAAGCTTAGACACTGGTACAAATCACAAAATGTTAAGTTAATTAACGTGACGAAGTATTTATTAATACATTATTTACCTAAATAATCTACAATTATGAAACCATACACGTAAGTTGTGAAGTGTTATTTTTAATGATAAAGTTGTCCTAAAACTATTTTAATCCTACTGCGATATGTTATTCTGTATATATGTATTTTTGCGTCGTGATGAAAAGTATCGTTCATAACTCGTACCAAAAGCTTTTTTCCGACACTTGCTCCATTGTTCCCGTCCTCGGCTTCGCCTCGTACGTGAAAATAACTCTCACCTGCTCGGCTTTGCCTCGCACATGAAATTTGGTTTTCCTGTGTTCGGCTTTGCCTCACACATGAAACTTGAGCGCGCGTCGGAAAATGCCGCTTTCGGTCCTAGTAATGAAATATACTATTTCAATCATGTGGTGGGTTGTTCATTTACAAAACATTTATAGCATTTTGTCTAGCACATACATAAATATATGTTGAAATTGTTTATGCAAGAAAAATACAAAACAGCCTCTTAAGATCAGGTATTAACTTTAAAATAAATAATAGTCATAATTCTAATTGTATATTGTTTTGCAGAAAATTCTAAACAGTTCGTGTACTTCAGAAAAGGCATATGAAATGGCCTACATTGATCCATTTGTGTATCATGGATTACTAACTGCTCCTGGTAAGTTAACTTTTATGATTAGTGGTTAGCGAGGTTTGCAAAGCTACATTACTTTTGTTTTTTACCAAAAAGCATTGATTTGTAATTTTTCCTACAGTCACCCGACAAAGTTGGCTTCCTTGTACTGTTTATAGTACAGAAAGCTGCTAATTGCTGCATATTTATACTTTGCCGTACGATTTATACTTTGTCGTACGGTTTATACTTTTCCGCACATCAGGATTCCAACGAAACAACACAAAACAGCGTGGTTCTATTATGCACGTAATCCGTGTAAGCTTGGAAATAGGTTGGCAACACTTAAAGATAATGAGCAGCTGATTGACTATTATAACTACGATTTAACCTGTCATTTCGTGTTTATAGTTTTGGTATTTCTGAACTTTCTGGACTTTTCTTTTAAACGTTTTTAAAACGTTCCTACGATCTTAATAAACAAAAAAAAACCTTTAAAGCATTTTTTAAGGCGCGGAAACCACTTCAAATTACAAAAACATACGGAACTATATTCTCAAAACGTGGAGCACATTTCTTGCCGAGGAAAAATAGCGGAGTGATACGGACCGCGGGTACTACTTTCTCTAGGGCACCATTTGTGTTGCCAGCTGAACTTAAAAACGTGTTGTATAGTGTTTGAAAGACTAATATTTATATGCTTTATAGTGACTGTAGGAAAAATATAATGTGTAACACGAGTGAAAAAGGCCTTTGCTGCATTGTAAACATTGCTCTCGTGTGCAGCAAAGTGCCACTTTCACCACTAGTTACACAAATAACTATTACACTTGAATAATCGTTTTCATAAGTGAAACTTCTTATATATTTTTTTTGTAGCAATAAATATTTTTAATTTTTTTTTTATTGTTATAGAAATTACAAGACTTATTTACTTTACCACATTTGTAATTACCAAGTTGGCAAGTTTGTAATATCTTAAATGAAATGAAATGAAACTCCCTTTATTGCTCTCTTTACATAATATTACAGAATATTCACGCTATCTTACTAATATTATAAATGTGAAAGTTTGTGTGTTATTTTGTTTGTTTGTTTGAAGTTCAATCACGCATAAACCACTGGACGGATTGGGCTGAAATTTGGCATGATGATAGCTCACATTCTTGATTAACATATAGGCATATTCTTATCTCAAAAATCCTTTGGGGCTCCGCCCCAGTGGCTCTGTAGTTCCCCATGTTAACCTTATGAGTATTCATATTTAAAGGGAATTAAAGAATTTAGTCAGCTGTTTTAACTAAAAAAAGTTGGTTCTATGATATACAAAAGCATTAAAAAGTTATAAGATTTACCAACAGGGTGCAGCACTATAATTTTTTTTGCATTTATGTAAACAGCTAATTTTTGAACTAAGCTACAACAAAAAACTGTGATACGCAATGAGAACTGTCAAAGTATGATTTTTTACAGTTATGTTTATGTTTTTAATGTCATAAATGATTTTGTGATTTTTTGCGAATGTTTAATAATTTTTTTTTTATTGCTTAGGTGAACTAGTAGAACATTATGGCTATGGTAGATGTGTAATACCATAGTATACCGTAAATTTAAAGAAGCAAATTTGATCAAACTTTCTCCTCCCCCATTGCAAACGCAAAGCTTGAGTATAACTGCAATAAGCATTTTAAACTTATATGCCAACCCCGTACGAAGGACGGGTACTCTGCTAGTACTAACTAAATTACATATTTCAAATTAAATTGTTGATTCTGTTTGTAAATTTATAAAAAACACACTTTCACACTTTGGAACAATAAAGTCTGCATCCCGAGGTCAAAACCTGTGTGGGATGATTACCACTGAATTGCACAAAATACACTCAAGCTAGAAGGACTGTACTTGATCATTAATATAATAATAATAATAATAATAATAAATACTTAATAATACTAATATTATAAATGTGAAAGTTTGTGTGTTTGCTTGTGTGTTTGAAGTTCAATCACGCATAAACCACTGGACGGATTGGGCTGAAATTTGGCATGATGATAGCTTACATTCCCGATTAACATACAGTATAGGCATATTCTTTTTTAAAAAATCCTTTCGGGCTCCACCCCAAGTTTTAATTTTTAAAAAGTCTAGCAGCCGACGTTAAGATTCTAAACTAGCTTTTGGCATAAAATAATTTGCTTAACATAACAGCTGTAAACATTCAGCTTTTGTGTCACAAATTCAGCATTTGGATAAAAATGTAAAGACATACTTAGGTTTGACTTATTTATACTATGTGTAATGCAAATCATTGATACGTTCGATTCTTCTGTAAGAGGATGACAGATTAATTAAATTATACATAGTAAAATACTAGGATGTTAAAATTATTTTTTAAAGCAATCTTTGTAATCTTCGATTTGTTTTAGAGCAATATAATTAGTTTTAACTAACAGCTGGTTATAAAAACTATGGAACTATGAGGTTATTTTATTTACTCTTATTTTGTCATTGATTATAGGAAATAAGTAAGATTAGTAGAGATAATTAGACCACAGTTTAAAATAGTTTAGACCAAAACTAATTAAACCACAGTACAAATCGAGGCTCTGTACACGAGTCTTAATAAAAAAGGATAAATGCAAATTATTTTACTATTCCACTTTTCGAGGAAAGAATAGAAAAATAACAATGTTTACATGTTTTAATTCTTCATGGTCGCTTTTTGTTTACAATTGATGTTTGTCTGCTTTAACTTTGTTTGGATTTGGCCCGGAAATATTGATGTCATAAAAAGAAGATCAAGAATAATCAGGAATCACGATGTTAAATTACCACCACAACCTCAGCCGGGTTTTATACAAAGATTGAACACAACGTCAACATTGACCTAGGATACTGCAATTAGACAAACACCATCCTTTTATGAAATCGTGTTCAGTGTGGTTACGTTTGGGGGTGCCTATCAGCGCCCCCAAACGTGAAAGTATCACTTTTATTTCAACTATGAATATATTGTAGTTTAAATTAACTAATATGGGAAATTACGATGTACACTTATTCAATGAGGGTGGGTAATTATTAAGGATAGAACTGATAACGGTATGGATAATAAACATTGACAATTACGTCATTAGCTTTACTAGCGTGTTTGCTTCTTATATTTCTGCTACATGTGACCAGTTCTTTTAGTAATCGTGGGTTCTTTTTTTCAAATGAATGTTATTTGAACCAAACAGCTGTTTCAAAACAAACTGTTATTGTTTTTACTTTTCTTTGTTTACACTTATTTATTTAGCAATTAATGCAGTGAAATTGATATAAAGGATAGGTGTGACGATTTATGTGTACTGTGAATTTTATTGGATATTATCGTTTTATTTTAGGTCGTTTCTATTCAGACCTACTGGGAATCCTTATATATAATACGTGAAGGCGATTTCTTGAAAACACTACTCCTCCGTTAATAATGGACGGATTTTTACAAACGACGTGTCAAAATAAAGTATTTTTTGTGTAGACGCCCCCTTTCACCAATTCATGTAATAAAAATCCTCGGGCTTTGCCCCACAGGCCATCAAAGTTGGATTTTCTCCCATAAGATTAACATGGGGGAATTTAAATATTTAATTGGAAACTTTGTCCCCACTAATTTGAGAGAACGGCTGGGCGTAGAAACTTGGTAGAGGTGTCCAAAGAAAGGTCTTGGTCTGTAGATGAGATATCAAAAGAAAAACTAAGCAAAATCCCTTAGGGCTCTGCCCCAGAAGCCTTTAAAGATCCCTCCACAGAGTTGTTTACATTTTGGCCATGTGAATAATACTTTTTAATAAAACAGCTGTTCATTTTAAAATTGTATTTCAAACCACACATATTTATTGGGTTACTGAATTGTACCAAATAAGTATTTGCAATGTTATTTTCTGATTTTAAAATTAATTTTCCTCTTTATCATGTCATGTTTTGCAATATAACGTTCTATTACGAAATCAGTGGAAAATCCTTTGATAACAGAAATTCTTAAATTATTTCTTATTGAACTATCTTATATCTATTGTACGGGTTGGTGTCTGCCTTTTTCACCACTTTTGCCTAAATTTTATCATATTATTCTACACATATCAAATATTCATGTAGAAATATCTGCTCTTATCGTGTCTAATAAAATCCAAACATAGAAACATTGCCTACAGTTAAATTGGACCCATCTTGACAAATTATTTGCACCTGCCTATATTACGGACTTTGGCGCACTGGGTTGGTAACATTATTGAAAATAACACGACATTTTGGCTGTAAAATATGGTACAAAGAGAAAATACTATTTTAGCAGTTACTGTCATGACAGAAAGGTCATATTCCTTTTAAACTAGACCTCATAATCCTTTATAAGATACGCTGATTTACAATATGTAAACGTCAATATATACGCAACAGCCAATTTACAGTATTTTTTCTTTTTGGAAATGTCCCATTGCTATGTCATTTGCATTATTTGTTGCCAATGAAGCCGCAAGACCATATAAACTAGGAGGTCCCTAACAGTTTAAGAATAAAAGCCAACTTCACTTCAAGTATTCCACTACACCTATCATTCCGTAGAGAGATTATATTGACAACTTTATGTTATTGATAAGGCTGAGACAACTAACTGACATCCCCCATGTCAAGGAATTCCAGCTTTAACAGTAACCCCACAATAAATTTCTCATAACTATGCTAGAGGGTTCATTCATTGGCACAGAAGTACGATATGAACTGACGCGACGTGACGAAGGAAAAATCAAACTTACACTGTAACGGATATACCTCCCTTTGAAGTTAGAACATTTCTTCCCAAAAAATATTTTTATTTCAAATAAAATCATATTACACTGATGAAATCACAGAAGTGTTTAACTACAAAAGACCCACCAATACGATTTTAATACTATTTAAAGGTTCTTCCAAAGGAAGGGATATCATATAACATACTAATAATAACTCCGATGAGTCAAATGACGTACGGTATGGGAAATATTTTAATCATTGAATGATCAACCAAATTTGGCAACTAACGCAATTAAAATCATAATTGTTTTCACACTTACTACCCTTTAAACAATGCTAAATGCTCAAAATATGTATATTTCACCCAATTTATCGCAGTTAGATGAATTAACGTAAGCCTTGAAAGTAACCGTCGATTTCGACGGGTTTCCCCTAGTTGTGTATAGTAGTTGTATTGTGGTGATAATAATTATGGAAGAGGCAGGTATGCTATGGAAGGTGGTATCGTTGACTAAGTCTATACACTTCTCAATTGACTATTACTCTCTCTACTGTAGGCAACTTATGATCAGTGTGCGTCTGTGCGAATCGGCTGCAAATCTCACTTCAACGCTTTTCACATCGCAAAAATTGCAGAATTGCTGTTTTATTGTAAAATTATCGGATCTAAAATGCATATCGTATAGGCCTATGATGGAATAAAAACATATTTGGTCACACAGCATTTGTTTACAAGATGATTTTTCACATAAAAACTGCAAGAAACTTTATCTTTATGTGTAAACTAGCTGATCTGAATTGTACACGGTTTTAACTGACTACTGAATTCCCGTACGTAGGACGGGCTAACACCTCGTCTATCTATAATATTAAAACGAAACAGGGTTTTTTTATTTCACGATTCTGAATCAACCACTCGACGGATTTTCATAATTTTTGTGTTGAAAGAAAGATAATTTTGAGAACTAGGGAATGTCGAAGCCATAATTTTAGTTTAGGGTCCCAGTTATTTAGAAATTAAGTTTTAATTTTTGAAAAGTCTAGCAGCCGACGCTAAGATTCTAAACTAGCTTTTGGTGTAATATAATTTACTTAACATAACAGCTGTAAACATTCAGCGTTTGTAACACAAATTCAGCATTTGGATAAAATTAAAAGACATAAACTAAATTAGTTAAATCAAGCTATATAACATGAAATACTCTCAAAAAATGTTCTCAGTTATAAGGTATGAAAAATCTTATGTTAATGTGGAAATTTAATATGAGTATTATTGCAGTACGTGAAAAAAGGAATCTACATTGTCAATTTCAAATAATAAAGATTTAGTCAGTTTGTTATACTTTCTAAGATTTTTTTCTAGTTTATTCTCTTCTGGTAGCATATTAAAAAATTTAGGAGCTAAAAATTTATAAAATTTCTTAAAATGAGTTAAATTTGGCTTGGGTACGCTGACTTCAAAATTGCGTCCTAAAGTTAGTTTCTTTAAATTTGTGGTTTGATTTCTGTCACCACTCATGTCAAAAAACGTCCTAAGAACTTAAAACACATATAAACTCCTTAAGGGCAGAATCACTAACTTTTTGAATAGTGGGGCTGTATGCTCCGACCTTTTTTCCTGGTTAGAATACGTAAGAACGACTTCTGTAATAATATAATTGATTTTATTGTGGTTTTATAGGTACCTCCCCAAATGGCAAGGCCATACTCAAGTTTTGAACTGATTAGAGCAAAGTACTCAGATTTTAATAGCTTAATGTCACAAAACAGTCCTTAAGAGGTAGAAAATTCTTACATATTTTATTAATTTCCTCTTTAAATAATCTACATGATTTTTCCTATAAGATTTGGTTTTTGACTACAAGTTACTCTTGAGTCCAATAATAACCCTAGGTATTTAATTTCTAGCACCTGTTCAATAATAGGACAAATACAATTTCTTACCTCTAAACATGACAAATTATGAAATTTTAAATTATTAGAGAAATATGCATTTCTTGATATATTGAAAATCATATATTTAGTCTTTGGGCTCATCACCATATAATTTTTTGTAAACCACCATCTTAAACCATCTAAATCCTTTTGCTGGTTTAAGGAATTTGCTTTATAAAATAAGGCTGTATCGTCGGCGAAGGCAATGAGACTTCCCCTGAACGTGCCATTGCAGAGATCATTAACATAAATTAGAAAAAGTGTGCCAGACAATACTGATCCTTGAGATATGCCATGTCTCCTTGAGGTATGCCATGTCTTATATAATCAGATTCACTAAGAGTGTCGTTTACTCTAGTCTGCTGGGTTATGTTAGATAAGTATGACCTAAACCAATTTAAAGCAATACCTCTTACTCCAGCATTATTCATTTTAGATAGTAACAATGAATGATCGACTGTGTCGAAGGCCTTCATTACATCGATGAACAAGCCTGCACATTCCATACCTTCATTAATCCCATAGTGTACTTTAATCATGAAGTTCATCAATGCACGATAAGTATTCAGGCCTTTTCTAAAACCAAACTGGTTCGCGCTGAAATAATTGTGTTTGGTTAAAAAGGATAAGAGACGTGCATTGACAACTTTCTCTAGCACCTTAGAGAACAGGGATAAGAGTGCTATCGGGCGATAGTTGGACGGATTGCTCTTGTCGGATTTTTTATACAAAGGTTTTACTATAATTTTTTTTTCAATATATCAGGAAATACGCCAGAGCTTAAACTTAAATTGACTAAATAAACAAATACATCAACAATATCATTTATGATATATTTCAACACTGTAGGTGTAATATTGTCAAAACCAGGAGCTTTACGGTTACTGAGCGATTTCACAATAGTTTTTATTTCCCTATCATCTGTGGGGAATAAAAACAAAGACTCAAGACATGTATACTCCTAAATATACCCCATGGGTATTATTTCTATATTGTGCTAGTAAGGGAATCTCTATAATATAATATTAAAATTTCCAAAACAAAGTGTTCCAAAACATGGCATTTGGTGGGTCAGATTAATGACTTTTAGGGGTTTGTTAGAATCGTCCACGAATAATTAATTAATTACATACAGTTAGAAACCTCACTAACTCAGTCTGTGTAACTTGACAGCTAACAGCTATGGGCTTACAAAAAAATTATTCATATTCAATTATTCAGAACATTTTAAATTTAATTTTGGAATATTTACATTTCTTTGAAGATATTTCACTCAATATGTAAAAAAACTTATGTAAGTAATAAATTTTTGCGGAACGTATGTAAAAATTAGTCTGTCATGTAATCATCTAACTATAGACCCATTAAAATGTCAATGTTCTGGATGACTTGACAAATTTAATTCATTCACTATACGTTTGAATGATAAAAAAAAAACTATTAAATCTACAACTCATCCGCCAACACATGCCTATATTAAAATTTTTAGACCGGATTGATTTTTGTTTTTAAATTGTAAGAAAAATTTTATTTTGAGGGGTCATTACATTACATTTAATTTGCTCTAACTAAACAAGTGTTTATAACATATATATTCTGATGGTTCTATGTTGTCCAGGACTGAGATATTTGATTTTATTTTTAATTTTAATTTAATGAATAAGTTATATTATTGTTAACTAGAATAATTGTTTTATGTAAGTGTATACGTTTTTTATGAGTGACGTCAGCGAGTGCCATGGACTTTACCATGATTACGTTGCCATGGAAAAATACTTTTCCTTTTATAACATACTAGCTGTAACCCGCGGGCTTTGCCCCGTTTAACTTCTTAATTTTCAAGATTATCTCGTTCGCATGGCTCAATCACGTCCTGGTTGAAGTTTGTTCGCTACGCTCACTCACCTTTAGGTTGGAGCTCGTTCGCTGCGCTCACTTGCCTTCAGGTTAGCTCGTTCGCTACGCTAACTCGCCTCCAGGTTGAAGTTCGTTCGCTACGCTCACTCACCTTTTGGTTGCAAATTAGCTGTTGTCATAAATGTAAAAGAAATAATAGTGCTGCACCCTGTTGGTAATCCTTGTAACTTTAATGCTATTGAACATCATAGAACAGAACCAACTTGTTTAATTGAAACAGCTGTTAAGATTCAATAATTCCATTTCTCATAAGGTTAACATGGGAAACTCCAGAGCCACTGGGGCGGAGCCCGAAAGGATTTTTGAAATAAGAATATGCCTATATGTTAATCGGGAATGTGAGCTATCATGCCAAATTTCAGCCCAATCCGACCAGTATTTTTCACGTTCACTTGTCACAAACATACATCCATACATCCAAACTTTCTCATTTATAATATTAGTAGGATGTCACATTCTGTTTATTGTACATTATTGGAAATAAAGAATCTTGTATCTTGTATCTTGTAACCCCCAAACTCGACAACTTATGGGTTCAAAAATACAGTAGTCAAGTTAGTGAGGTTTTACTGTACTATAAGAAAGTATTGTTGTAAATGAAATTTTTATTTGAAACCTGTGAAACAACAAACAATATCACCTAAAAAGTTCTGCTTTGATCAAATGGATTTGCTAAAACAGTTCTAAAATAAAAATTTTACTTAATTAATTTCTTTCAAAGATTCATGGTATTGACTACAGGAAATGTAAAATTAAGAAATCTTCTTTAGATTAATAGTAAAAAGATATGTTTTCCATAAGGAATCCTCAACATTTTAACCAAATTTTTCATTATATCCACTTTTAGGTCATATTTGGAAAATAAAACGGCGACATATTAATCCTCTGTTTCATCCACGCAATCTTGAGCTGATGTTGCCAACATTCAACCGAAATAGTGAAGAATTTGTGACAAACTTGTCCAAACACGTTGGCAGTGGACCGTTTGATGTGATGCATAATGTGATGGACACGGCTCTCAAAACTGTTTGCAGTAAGTTGCCTGACCCAGTGGAACGACAAATATTAACTTTATCAAAGGGAAAAATTTTGCTAAGACTCTTGAAAATCTAATTTTGATAATATCAGTTGAGTTTTCTAAATCTAACTTTATTCAATTGTTGGTTTTATTAATTAACAGAAAACAGAGTTTTATATAAAAAAAACTATTCATAAGTCAAAATATTAAACACTGTTTTCTTGTTTGTGATCTCCATTATGAGATGGATGTTGTCCTTGCCATGAGATCAAACCTTTTCCTTAATAGCTGGGTAGCTCATAGTGGTTTGAATTCTTGCCTAGTAAAGTAAGGGTAGCCGGTTCAATCCTGAATCTAGAATAATCGTGGTTGTCAGATTTTTTCTTTTTAATTTCTTGATCAGTGTTAATTGTGTCAGTATAAACTAAATAAATCAAAATGTAACTTAAGGATCACAATGTATATTAACCAACAAAAATAATAAAAAATAATAAAATAATAATCAAAAGGTCGCCGTTTTGATCCTGAGAAAAATGTGTAAATTTGTGATGGTGGACCCAGCTGTTCCTGATCATTGGACTTTCAATAAATGATCCTGGCTAATGAAACAGCTGATCTAAGTCAGTAACAAAGCTACACAGATCACCCCATTCTACACTCATCCTTCACTCATATTCATAATTGGGTTAAAATATGCACCTAAGTGGCGTCCCCATATTAAATGAATATGAATAAATATGAATAAACTAGCTACGAGTTTCAACACTCTATATCTTATTTTTTTAAACATTTCAGATCTAATATTTGGGCCAGATATAGAATTCGACACAGAATCTCAAAGCTTCAAAAATCTTCGATGTATTGTGGAGAGGTAAATCATTATTAATTTCTTCTTAATTTAGTCAGTATTGAATAAGAATAAGAAAGCTTATAAATACTGAGAGAGAGAGAGTTCACAGTTACAACACCTGATTTTGTTTAACGCTAACTTATTTATTTAATAACAATTTTCTTATATTAGATTTACATTGCCACTATATACGATTTACCATTACATGATATGGTTAACCACTATATATTATATTTACCATTTATAAATTACAGTATCTATTGTAGTTTTGTGATTATGGTCTGTTCATTCCAGGATCCTAGAAATATTTATCAATCGATTAACTCGATTTTGGTTGAGATTTGATGTCATATTTGAATTTCTTTATTGGAAGGAAATAAATGAGATGAACAAGCTTTGGCAGGAATTTACTGAGCCTCTTTTAAGGGTAAGATTTTTTGTATTTTTAGTCTGGTACTTAGTTCTTTTCTGCATCTTATTTGTGCTTGAATGATTCATCAGTGTGAGGTATATCACTTATTTTGACTTTTGTTGTTTGATTGATTGATTTTGTGCTTTTATACAATCAGATTTTTTTTATTTGATCACACCCCAACAATCAATCTAAAACTGAAAGACCTGTGGGTGTAAGTTTTGCTACAAGAATGTCCTCTCTTAAAGCCAATGTTGATTCTTCATGGACACATACTGAACTGGCACTGTCCTTAGACTATAAACTATTACCACCCAACATTTCAGCCTTTATACAGGGTGCCATCTCCAGAGGGTTTACAAATTGCATACAAACCACCGGTGTTGCAAAATGAAATAGGTATAGTAAAAAGTAACAGTTGTAAGTAGATCAAGAGTAGAGCTACCTACAATTAATTATGTGTTTTATTCAGAAGAATCAAATTGTATGCCAAAGCCAAATAAAATAGATCATATTTTAATAGATTATTCGTTTCAGATAGCAAAGAGTAAATGGGAAAATAAAAATCAAGTTAAGAAACAAATTGAAAATGATTCTACGAACAATTCAACTGACAAGAGTCCAGGTTGGTAATCAATTCATATAGGCTACTCTGAAAAAAGATTTCAATTGTTTTTCTCATAAGATGGTATCGACACTAATTTGGTCTTATTCTATATTTTTAATCTGAAACTATTTTAAATTGTAAGTGTAATAGTAAAAATAGCATTTGGGGACCAAGCCATGGCTCGGTAGATTATTTCCATTAATGTACCCCAAATGATGTTTTTCCCTTTAGATTTTCTAATTTGCTAGTAAACTGTAGATGGCTTGTTATAAACACATGTTACAAGTCTTGTTTACTTTTTCCTAGTTATTTTGTTCAACCAACATGGTTACTTGGCAACATAAAAGGACAATGATAAAACATTTTGTTTGCAACTTTATTTTTTTACCTAATTAGATTTATGGTTGGCAATTTTTACTGCATTTAACATGTTTTTAGGCCAGAAATAAATTATTTACAACATTTGAAGGAAATTGTAAAAGCTGTTTTCTAGATCCTTTGTGCAATTAAGTATACATACAAGCAAACATTGCTCATATAAGAGTAAAGAATAAAGAAACTAACATTATTAACGTACAAAGATAAATACCTGGGAAGGGATATGGAAGCCCATTCCATCCTTGTCAAGATGTACACTAGGAGGTTTTTTATCAATGTTTTGTATTTTCAGAACTGTTAAACCTACTTGATGTCCATGGCATTATGGAGCAAAAATTCCCTGAATTTACAGAAACTGATCTAAAATATGAAATGATAACACTTTATGTTACGGTGAGCTAAAAAATACTATGTGCATTATGTTTAGAAGTTAGAAGTTTCATGACTTTGCCTCTTTTATTTTAGATTTGAAAATGGCAATATAGGTTGCTTGAAATTTATTCTTGTTTGAGCGATCAACTTATGGTCTCTGTTAAAAATGTATCAAATAATATTTTAGGATTTAATTGTGTTATCTTAATTTTTTAAAGCTTAGAATGACACAATGTTTAAATTTACATTTTTGGACTATCATTGCTTACATTAAAAAGCTATTTATTTCATTTTAATTTTATCAATCCAGAAAGATATTTTTCAATTGAGTGGTACAGTTGGGGGTTTTACTTCAATCAATAAAAGGTGTGTATTTGTTTTCTACAATAGATTTAAAGTTATGATTATTCACCTTGGATAGAATTACTACATTATTATTCTCTTCTACGCCCTCGCACTATTGCTAACACTTACAACCATAGCTATAGTAGAACACCACATCTCTAACCTTTATATGTCTTCATAAACTGCAGGGAACTGACTCAATAGGAGGAGCAATGTCTACATGTTTACTCTTGCTGGCCCAATACAAGGATATTCAGGTAAGTGGGACAACTTTATGAAGAAGATTTCTTTATGTTATGAAATAGATAGACAGGTCTTGTCATTGTTGAAATTACTGCAATTTATTTCTGAAAAAATATTCCTAATACAGTCAATAATAAAATAAAACATCCAATGGATGATTATAACTCACAATTTGAGGTTATCCAGGTTCACATCTAATAAATAGTTTATGAGCATTTGCACTGAATTCAAATAAACCAATAAATTGTGGATTACATCTGTAAGAGAATGTGTGGATATGGACAATATGATATGAACTTGGACAAGTTAATTCTATAATATGCAACAGCATTAAAAAGTTATAAGGTTTCCCAACAGGGTGCAGCACTATTATTATTTTGTTTTTGCATATATGACAACAGCTAATTTGAACTAAGCAGCAACAAAAAGCTGCGATACACAATGAGAACTGTCAAAGTAGGATTGTTTACAGTTAGGTTTGGGTTTTTAATTTAATGAATAATTTGTGATATTGTGCGAATGTTTTATAACTTATTTTTTCTATTGTTTAGTAGCAGTGGTGAGACATTATGGCAATGGTAGATGTGTTATATATATCATACCGTAAATTGATTAACCAAATTTTATCAAACTGTGTCCTCCCCCTTTGCAAACGCAAAGCTTGAGTATAACTTCAATAAGCATTTTATACATATGCCAATTCCATACGAAGGACGGGTGCTCTGCTAGTCTAACTAATAGTTCAGAATCTTGCCTATTTCAAAAATATTTTCATAGATTTTTTAAGTTGAAGGACGTCTTGGGTGTTATCTTCATTTTATCTTCTCTTCCTTCTCTGAATCCGTTTTACCACTCAAAAACCCTTGTAAGTGGCATACATTGATCCCCATTCACTTGAAACAGTTGAAGTTGAAACAGCTGACTAAATTCTTTAATTCCCTTTAAATATGAATACTCATAAGGTTAATATGGGGAACTACAGACCCACTGGGGTGGAGCCCGAAAGGATTTTTGAGATAAGAATATGACTAAATGTTAATCGGGAATGTGAGCTATCATCATGCCAAATTTCAGCCCAATCCGTCCAGTAGTTTATGCGTGATTGAGCAACACACAAACACACACTCAAACTCACAAACTTTCAGATTTATAATATTAGTAAGATTAGATTGCATTTGTTATAATGAAAATCAAACATATTAGTCTTGTACCGGTAGCTGTTGTTGTGTGTAGCTATAATTGTCCATAATAGTGATATCACTGTTTTATAGGATCGTCTCTATCAAGAAATAGCAGCACCAGACAATATAGAAAAGGATGTTACGATGGAAGATATCAAAAAGTATACATACTTGGACCAAGTGTACAAAGAGACCTTGAGATGGGCCAACATTGTCCCAGTAGTGGCAAGGAGGACAACGGAAGATCTTGTGCTAGGTAAATAATATCCAGTGTTAAAATTAGATGCTAAACAAATATTGTACCTTAAACTCTAGATTAATTTTGTTGTCAAGAATCAATCTGGCAAATATCAGGATAGTAAATTATACTCACTCCTAAGTTTATAGTTTCACAAATCATTCATAACTCAACTTTGCACAAGGGAAACACAAATTAAACCTTTTTAATAGTCTTCACCGGATCCATAGAGACAAGAAAAAAATCAGTACTAGTGTACCTGTTGCTCGAATTTGAGCAATTGCGAAGTATAACAGGCGTTATTTTAAAACGAATGACAGTCATAATTTACGAAGACTTTAAAAGAGTCGCCTCAAAGATTATGGAAATACTCACGATATAGGTACATAACAGATCTATATAATCAACATTTCTTGTAAATATCTTATAATTTTTCAAAAGCTGATCTTGAATTTTAGTGTTTTCTACAAATGTTTCCAACTCATAACCACATTAGGTTGTCCATAATAATGATTATAAATTTAAAAAAGACATTATTTCTATTTCTTCTACTTGGTGGTGTTCTATGACTTTCCTATATTTCCATCTTTTGCAAATAGGCTCTTTCAATGATTGCTCAAGGAATACAGCACAGTGTTAATTCAGATTTCTTTTTAGTATATCAAATTGTCCAGGCTTTCTCTTTATTTTTTACTAGCTGTAACCCGCGGGCTTTGCCCCGTTTAACTTCTTAATTTTCAAGATTATCTCGTTCGCATGGCTCAATCACGTCCTGGTTGAAGTTTGTTCGCTACGCTCACTCACCTTTAGGTTGGAGCTCGTTCGCTACGCTCACTCACCTTTAGGTTGGAGCTCGTTCGCTGCGCTCACATGCCTTCAGGTTAGCTCGTTCGCTACGCTAACTCGCCTCCAGGTTGAAGTTCGTTCGCTACGCTCACTCACCTATTGGTTGCAAATTATTTGTTGTCATAAATGTAAAAGAAATAGTAGTGTTGCACCCTGTTGGTAATCCTTGTAACTTAAATGCTATTGAACATCATAGAACAGAACCAACTTGTTTAATTGAAACAGCTGTTAAGATTCAATAATTCCATTTCTCATAAGGTTAACATGGGAAACTCCAGAGCCACTGGGGCGGAGCCCGAAAGGATTTTTGAAATAAGAATATGCCTATATGTTAATCGGGAATGTGAGCTATCATCATGCCAAATTTCAGCCCAATCCGACCAGTATTTTTCGCGTTCACTTGTCACAAACATACATCCATACATCCATACATCCATACATCCAAACTTTCTCATTTATAATATTAGTAGGATATTGCAATATTTACGCCAACCCAAATTCAAATATAAATTATTTCATTTCAACCAAGTCAGTAAATGTTTGTACCACACGTTCCCTAGTAGCACAAATATGTATTTTATAAATATTTTATATATTCAAAGTTGTATTTGATAGAACCTCGAATGAAATATATAAATAATATATCTTTAATAATAGTTTGATATATTCAATATATATATTGAAAATATTTCCCCAAAACAAATCAAAATATCAATTAAATATAAGTTTTGAATATATAAAATAGATTCATAATATATATTGATAAAATAAGTATAGAATCTATAATATAGGCTACATATTTTATATGTATATTTTTCCTATTAAATATTTAAAAAAATTTTGTTGAGAATATTTCAAATATATATATACAATTTTTGAAACTATATTATATATTTGAAGTATTTATATATATTTTAGATATATATTTTGAAACTTGTCAGATATTTTTATTAATAAAAAAATAATATATTTGTAGAATAAATATAATCTATTAAAATTGGCAAATAAATAATTAGCATCTTTTTGTTTTTTTATAGTATCTATAAATTTATACATGCATTTTTTTGTATGAATATTGCGATTGTGAAAGCGTTTAAGCTAAATTAAGTAAATTAAGTAAATTAAGTAAATTAAGTAAATTAAGCTAAATTAAGTAATAGCTATTTACCTAACCCGCCATGTTAAACTTCCCTATCCCAAGACGTTCAACGCTAGAAATCAGCTGTGCGCTTGAATTTTATTGTTATGTTTTGAAGAACTTTCCTAACCTAGCTTTTGTTTGTAAATGAACGTTACTGTTAGAAGATGAGTGAAATGGATAATGAAAAATATTGTTCGTAACCTCTTGTATATTGTCGGGTCAGGCAAAATCTTGTACGTTACACGTTACGCAAGAGCAAGTTTACATCACTTCGGTAAATTATGCAACTCGCTTCCGCTCGTTGCACAACATTCACCTGCGTGATGTAAAAACGCTCTTACTACACTTGTAAGGTAAAATAGCTATTACATTACAAGTGTAGTAAGAGCGTTTTTACATCACGCAGGTGAATGTTGTGCAACGAGCAGAAGCGAGTTGCATAATTCACAAACACGCTCTTGCGTAACGTGTAACGTACAAGGTTTTACCTGACCCGACAATATACATGGGGTTACGTACAATATATTTCATTATCCATTTCACTCATCTTCTAACAGTAACGTTCTTTTACAAACAAAAGCTAGGTTAGGAAAATACTTTAAAGCATAACAATAACATTCAAGTGCACAGCTGATTTCTAGCGCTGATCGTCGGCTCCATAGAGGTATATTTTTAAAGTTAAGCACTCAATGTTATTTAAATGGGTTTCATTACCTCACCGAGTGAGATTTTTTCAACTTTACATCACTCGAGAAGTAAATAAGTTGTATACATCTCACTTGGGATAAGGAAGTTTAACATGGTGGGCTAGGTAAATAATAATACATACTCTGTATGGTGTCACTCTATCATGCATGTAAAGAAAAAAATACGCATCTAGTTAAGAGACAGCATACATGTTCGACAGCTACATGTGGGTCAAACGAAAAAGGGGTAAAATATAATTTAGATTTTTTTATGAGATGATGAAAAGCTATTGTGAAAAAGTCACAATAACTAAGTCAAAGGATTAATTTACGATCCAACCTATTATACAGTTGTCATTCTTTACTTGATCATATTTGTGTAATTGAATAATCCTTACGGTTTCAGATGGTGTGACAATACCAGCTGGTTACACGTTGACAGCTGCTATGATAGGCAACCACTTAGACCCAAAGATCTTCCCAAATCCACTAACTTTTGATCCAGAGCGATTCTCTTCTGAAAATAATGCAGAACGAGAACCATACTCTTTCTTGCCTTTCAGTGGGGGTTCGCGAAACTGCATTGGTAAGATGCTATCTTCTAAACATTGCTATTGCTACATCAGATTTAATATCGATATTTTTTAGGAAGATCGTGGGTAAAATTAAGATCTTAGAGTTAACTTAAAAAACATATTATTTGGCATTTTATGCAATCAAGTGGACACTATAAAATTCAATAAAAGCTCAAAATCATTCACTAAATTAGCACTAAATGTACAAAATAGTTTTGTTTTTTTTTCACAAAGAAATTTAAATACCCCCACTGCAGCAAACCTGCTGACTAAGCAAATTTCCATTAGCCTGGATTGATTTTCAATTAATCTATTAAATTATTATTTATGTTTAACGAGTGCCTAGGTTTGCTGCTACAGGGAAACCAATTATTAAAGTGTGTTTTTTATTAAAATATTAATAGCTTTGTATAAAATAAATAAATCTGACAAGTTTGATCAAAATAAAAAAGCCAACTACAACATTTTACAATATTCTTTATAAGAATAACATGGGAATTTAAATGAACATTTTCTTTTTAATTTTCTCCGTAACCATAACCTTAAAAAAACACTTTGATACTAAATTATTTGTTTTTTAAGCTCTTTAAAAAGGCCTGGAAAAGTTGAAAAATGTTGTGTTTTATGGGTAAAAAATGAGAACAACATTTTTACCACATAAAACCCCCCGTTAAACACCGTTCCATGGTCCGATCATGCTGGTTCGCGAACTCATACAAGTTTATCCCGCCTTACACCTTCAAACCAAATTTTATAAAAATCGGACAAAAATTACTCAAGTTATCACATTCACGGACATATATATATATATATATATATATATATATGTATATATATATCCAAAACATATATAAATACCCCCACCACAGCAAACCTGCCGAATAAGGGGCAGATTTAATTAAATCTATTTAAAAAACATTAGGTTTAATGAGAACGTAGGTTTGCTGCTACAAGGAAACTAATAAAGTGCCTTAGTATAAAAAATAAATTTGCCAAGTTTGATCAAAATCTATATCTATAAAAGAGGAACTATGTATATACAGGGTGAGTTTTAATTGTCCCACCCCCCAACTTTTTTCAAATAAAAATTTGAACCAATAGTGTTTTTGGCCTCTTGGGACATCAAAATGAAAAATTAAATCGGTCCTGGGCCTATGTCTTACCATGCCACCTACGGTAATAGCTACTTCCCTGTAGGGAAATCCGCTAAAAAGAGCATAATTGTGTTGTTCTTAAGAGGAGAATAAATAAGCTAAACTTATTACTTCAACATTATGAGAAATTCCCATGATGAACAAGTTCTTTCAAATGTATAAGATTATGTGCAACAATTTTTTTCTTTTTTCTTGTGTCTTCTTTAGAACGACATTTTTTCAATGAAGTAAAGTATTTCAAACAACTTTGAGGGAAATTTACCTATAAGTGTGGGGGGGGGGTATAAGCGGTCCAAACACATTAAAGTTTTGTGGATGTTTCGGGAATCAAACCTGTCGCTCCCGCACCAAAGTCTGAGATGCTAACCAAGCAACATGTTGCAACAGCAACACACCCAACATTTGTTTGACATTCAAGTAAACGGGGGGCCACCAGTTGACCGACAAGATACTTGGTCGTCTTGCCACTAGACCGTCTTTTTTAATTAAATAGATAAATACTGAAAACCAGTACGTCGACAAGTTATTTCATCGTCAGTCCAGTTGACCGGCATGTAAATCTAAATTATTATATACGAAAAACCAACTTGTCGTCAATCCTCCCGACCGACTTACCACTTGCTCGTCTTTTAGGTGGGGATGTGTTGAGCGGCAGTGCCAGCGGCGCGCGCAGCTGTGGAGGGCACTGCAGGCGTACCAACTTCTGTATCTTGTAGCGGCGGTTTTCATTCCGACGATTTTCAGCTATCACAATGCAGCGGACTAGCGAGGTTCTTATTACGTGTAATTGTTTGTTTCTCAATCGATATTTTGTTATACACAGTACAGTGAATATAAATAGGCCTATATTAGTTTACTTCAATGAAATAAATGTTTTATTTAGCTAAATAAATAAAAATACGCCGATTGAACAAATAAAATTGTTACAGACAACAGGAAGTCCTTAATATGATAAAAAAAAGTGTTTATCTTTATTAAAAAATTACTGAAATTTGTTAACTTACTGCTGGCGACAAGGGTGGTGCCATACATAGGTTTATCAATAAATAAGATAAACATGCACAACCTTATGCAGCTATAAGTCAGGAAACATTTGTAGAAACATTAAAAAGCAATACCAATTTATGAAATATGATAAAATATTTACAGGAAATGTTGATTACTGTATATACATCGTGAGTATCTCCAGCAGTTACACACTGGCGATCTTTGAGTTGACTCTTTTAAACTCATTGATTATTACTTTTTTTCGTTTTGAAATAAATTCTGTATTACTTTGAAATTGCTCGAATTCGAGCAACATGTACACGAGTTTGAATATTAAATTAACTAACATATTTATGTAATAGGAGGGTCAAATATTGTTAACAGTGGTGAGGTAACTACCGTTACATTTATTCAATTGAGAGATAAATACAAATTGATAATACCGGTTATTTAAAGCTTTGTTGTCTATTTTTCCTTAAAAAAATAAAATAAAGAATGAATTTAGACTTTTGGTGACATTAGTTTGTACTATTTCTCCTTAAATGACACTGCTGTCTTGGTAAGCAATAGTTATCTCGGTAAACTATTTATTTGCTGAAGTGCACAGTGTGCTGCTTAGCCTGAGAAACATCTTTTGTTTTATGATTTTGTTGTAGGCCTATTGAAAACCTTGTCTAGAAGGAATTCCCATTGCCTGTGTTACCGGGGAGAAGTTTTTCTTAGTAAAGTCTGTAGACGTCTTCGGTTTTACACAGAAACATGTAATTATAATTGAAGAAGTACATGTTTTATCCTCTCACGTTGTTGCGTGGACAATACTATGGTGATTCAATTCTGTGTACTTCAATTGTCTAACTGACGCATCCTTGTTTTTTTTTACTAAATAATGTAGTCTTTACTTCCGTGGATCTTTGCGTTTTATTGTTTAACTGTCCTCAAGTAAGTCTGTGTTCTGAGTAAGTACTTCAAATGCACGGCACTACTGTATATTCAGATTTTCTAATGAACTATCATAGATAAAAGGAGTATAGACATGTATGTATGACAGAGTATGTCTACTCCTTTTATCTATGGTACTATTTCCAAGTTCATCTGGACGACCCTGCAAATCGTTTCTATTAAAAAAAATTGTATTTGGTTTATGTTTATGAACTTGTATGAGTGTTGTTAACTAAAGCTAAATTCACATCAAATTAATTAATTTAATTTATTTTAATAGTATTTCTAATTAATTTCAGTTTTAAGAACATAAAGTAAATAAATCCTTAGATGAAACGGCTGTACTATCCATGCAATTATTGTCAAACTATATGTTAAAAGATTCCTGGACGGCAATGTTATAATACTAGTTGGAGCAGAGGTACTGGATCTAGGGTTAATACAGTTTTGTGACGTGTAAGGTATATCACTGCAGAAGTAGTTAGCTCAAGAATTATGACGCGGATGACAAAGATTGGTAGCTTTTGCTATAATTATAAAAAAACCAAGTACATAAAATCATTCACAGTTTTTTTTTCACAGTCTATTGAATAGCCTGCAGTTAAGTTCACTCTAATGAAGAATATAGACGTGGCCAGAGTTCCAAACGATTTAAGCAACAACTGTTTACATGAACTATCCTATATGTAAGTTTTTTTTTTATAGTGTGCTTTCAGCACACCGCTTCAGCAACCGCTTTCAGCATGCGCTGCAACTAATATCCGGCGGTCACGTATCACTAAAACTGCCATATCTCAGTTAATACTCGTCTGATCTTAAAGATTAAGGTGTCGATCGATTTGTAATAAAATTTCCTTAAAAAAGTTAAAGTGTAAAATTTTTGTAAAATCAACGGTTTTCGAGTAATTTAAGAAACAAAATTTTAAACAGCCGCCATTTTGTTTCATGAATTTGAAAAATCGTCATAATTTTTTTGTAGCTTTGTCTAGTTGTCATAAATGTTGTTGCAAAGTTTCAGTTTCGTATGTTTAACCAATTTTCAGAAAAAAAATAATTAGTGAAAAAAACAAAATGGCGGCTATCTGAGTAACTAAGGACTTCCGGACAATTTAAATATGATATTTAGATATGTTTCTTACCCAGGAACAATGCCCTAAAATATTGGTAGAGAGTTCCGGGACACCCTGTATATAATACGTGAAGGCGATTTCTTGAAAACACTACTCCTCCGTTAATAATGGACGGATTTTTACAAACGACGTGTCAAAATAAAATATTTTTTGTGTAGACACCCCCTTTCACCAATTCATGTAGTAAAAATCCTCGGGCTTTGCCCCACAGGCCATCAAAGTTGGAGTTTCTCCCATAAGATTAACATTGGGGAATCTAAATATTTGATTGGAAACTTTGTCCCCACTAATTTGAGAGAACGGTTGGGCGTAGAAACTTGGTAGAGGTGTCCAAAGAAAGGTCTTGGTCTGTAGATGAGTTATGAAAAGAAAAACTAAGCAAAATCCCTTAGGACTCTACCCCAGAAGCCTTTAAAGATCCCTCCACAGAGTTGTTTACATTTTAGCCATGAGAATACTACTTTTTAATGAAACAGCTGTTCATTTTTAAATTGTATTTCAAACAACACATATTTATTGGGAGTTGAATTCTACCAAATAAGTATTTGCAATGTTATTTTCTGATTTTAAAATTGATTTTCTTCTTTATCATGCCATGTTTTGCAATATAACGTTCCATTACGAAATCAGTGGAAAATCCTTTTATCACAGCAATTCTTAAATTATATCTTATTGAACTATCTTATATCTATTGTACGGGTTGGAATGTGCCTTTTTCGCCACTTTTGCCTACATTTTATCATATTATTCTACAAAATATCAAATATTTATGTAGAAATATCTGCTCTTATTGTGTCTAAT